GATGTGCTGTGATAACAAGGTTAACTGTAACAAACAACCCTGACCTCTCAGGGGCTTAACCCACCAACGGTGCTCTTCTCACTCAGGTTACAGTCCGATGAGGGGCTGGGGGCTGGAGGGAGTGGCTCTGCTCCGTTCATTCATTCAAGAGTCCTAAGCTGTGGCCCCTGAAATCATCACAGAAGAGGAAGAGGGAATGGCAGGTACATGGGAAAATTTTATGGGTCCAACCTGGTAATGGCACACATTGCCTCTGCTCTGATTCCATTGCTCAGAACTCCCTCCCATGGCATCCACTTAACTGCAAAGAATCTGGGAAGTGTTCAAATTCAAAGTTCGTATGGCACGTGCCAGGAAAAGCTGCTAATAGTGGACATTTGCAGTTTCTGGGGGGTGGGCAGTGGTTTCTGGCTTGGATTGGGCTGGGAGTGTGATTTCTGAAAGTAGTTCAGATAGGAAGCTGATGTGGGAAGAATCATATGTACACCTTTCTGCTTGTAGCTCCATAAGCCTTCCATTTTTTCCATTCTCATGGGCTTTCTCAAGTAAGATCTCAATTAACACACATCTTACTACTGACATAACCTTATGAATGCTTTCTCTTTTACAGTTTTCATTCCCATTCAATCTAACCTGGATACCACAGTCTAACTAATATTCCCAAGACATGGCTTATGCCATGCTATTCCTGTTCAATAACAATAGTAAACAATTTCAACAACAGCAATAAAAATGTGTTGAATTATACTGTGGTGAGTGCTTTAACTGAAGAATATCAATAAACCTTAACCATTACAGCAAGCCTATGTGGCACCATCATTCTCATTAGATAGATGGATCAATAGGGGCTCTGAGAAGACCACATGCTAATATGATAGCCACATGTGGTTAAATTAAAAACCACTGAAAATTCAGCAAGTCTCAGACTATCTAATAAAGAGGGGATATGCTAATTGACCATCATGCCCTCACAAAGATGGTGGTGCCCACAGCCAATAAGGAGAGAATATGCTAATTGACTTTTATGCCCTCAAAGATGGCAGCACCCACAGCCAGAAGATAGAGGCACCCAGTCCCCTCAGCCCCCCACCCCCCAGGATCAGCCTGAAGTGCAGACAAGCCTCAGATGGCAGCTGACCAGCAGCCCAGGGCCACCCAAGGCTCAGGTAACCAGGGCTAGCTGAGGCTTGTGCTGCAGGCAGTGGCAGCAGCAAAGGTGTGATGGAGGCATCGCCTTCTCCTCATCACCAAGTCACCTCCTGCTCTTGAGGGCTCCCAGACTGAGAGGGGGCAGGCCGGGCTGAAGGACCCCCCCTCCCCCTCCAGTGCATGAATTTTCATGCACTGGGCCTCTAGTATCAAATTATATATATATATATATATATATATATATATATATATATATGTATGTATGTATATATATATATATATATATATATATATATATATATATATGTATGTATTGATATCATTTTGGAGAGTGCAGATATAGCAATTTTTTTCCTTGGCAGAAACTTCTATTAAATTAGGAGCCAAGGGCCACAGAGTAAGTGGTAACCTTATCTGAGTATAAAATTCTTCAACAGTTAGGAAAAAGTTTCCACAATTAAGAAAATGTTTCAGCCTGCCCTTACCCTTCTTGTACAACCTGGGCCCAAGCGACTATTGCATAACTATTTCCTCATTGTTTTCTTGCACAATTTCATACTCCAGCCTAACAAGTTTGCTCCCTACTCTACAATACTCCCAATATGTCCACTCATAATATTTTTGCTCTCCTCCTTTCTGTCAGCCCAGCTAATTAGTTCCTACCTGACCTTTAAGGTTCTAATGGTTTCAGTATCTCCTGAATCAGCTCCCTTGTTTCCATTCTCACTGCCTTGACCCAAACCACCTTTCAGATTCCCCACATCATTTGCCATGGCAGCTGGTCTGCTGCTTCTAATCATACTTGTGGACATTCAATGAGCACCTACTATGTGCTAGGCACTCTTTTAAGCATCATGTCCTCATCACAGCTCTTGTAGATTTCCCTGCTGTCCCCACTTTACAGGCAGGGGAAATTTCACCCCCACACTCTGGCTACATTTCTAGAACACAGAACTGCTTCTCTCTTCCCTCCCCTGGCTCCACAGGGAGGGGGACAGCCTTCTTAGCAGAGCACTCAACGCCCTTTATGTTCAGAGCATTTCTAACTTCAAAACCCAGCACTCCACCCACATACCACAAACTACTTACAGATTCCCGACCTGACATGCTATTTCTTCCCTCTGCGCTGTCTGTATACATGCTGTTCCCACTGCCTGGAGAGCCAGGCCAGCTGGCCAGCGCACTGTGGGCTCTGAAGCCGTCCATGGCAGTGTACTGTGGACCCTGGGGCTCGCTCTCTTCTCTGACCGTCAAGCTCTGCGTCTCTCCATCAGTGGTTCCCGGAGGAGGGCTGGGTTCTCACCACACTAAAATCACTTCTCTTTAAAAAAATATATATACTCCCCACATTCAAATGTAATGGGCCAGCAGAGGCGTCTGGGTCTTTTTGTTTTTAAAGAAGCTCCCAGACGATTCTGAAATGAGGCAGATGGTTTTTATTTACCCAGGTTTACATCCCTCATTTTGCAATTAATTAATCATACCCTGCCTAGGTTTCATGTGCATGATTGCTATTTAATGCTTACCTTTATTCACTTGAATTCAATTATTTAACTAATGTTTATTAAGGGGCTATTATGTGCCAGGCATTCATCTAGGTGTTGGGGTGAACAAAGGTGGTACAGTCCCTGTTCAGAATAATGCCTCTCCCAAGATGTCCATGTCCTAATCCCCCAAATTTGTGAACATATTACTTTACATGGCAAAAGAGATTTCGTTGATGTGATTAAGTCAAGAATTTTTTAAAAAATATATTTTATTGATTTTCACAGAGCGGAAGGGAGAGGGATAGAGAGTTAGAAACATTAATGAGAGAGAAACATCAATCAGTTGTCTCCTGCACACCCCCTACTGGGCATGTGCCCACAACCAAGGTACATGCCCTTGACTGGAATCGAACCCAGGACCCTTCAGTTTGTAGGCCGACACTCTATCCACTGAGCCAAACCAGTTAGGGCAAGTTAAGAATTTTTAAAATAAAATTTTATTGATTTCAGAGAAGAAGAGAGAGGGAGAGATAGAAACATCAATGAGGAGAGATAATCATTGATGGGCACCTCCTGCAAGCTCCCTACCGGGCATCGAGCCCACAACCCAGGCATGTGCTCTGATAGGAATCCAACCGAATCCATCCCCTCCTGGTTTGTTTGATGCTCAACCAATGAGCCATGCTGGTTGGGCAATTTAAGGATTTTGATGTGGGCAAATTTTTTTGGATTATCCAGATTCTTTTTATAAAAAATATATTTTTATTGATTTTACACAGAGAGGAATTGAGAGGGCAGACAGAGTAAGAAACGTCAATGAGGGAGAAACATCGACCAGCTGCCTCTTGCACACCCCTCACTGGGGATGTGCCTGCAGCCAAGGTATATGCCCTTGACCGGAATCTAACCCGGGACCTTTCAGTCCACAGGCCAACGCTCTATCCACTGAGCCAAACCGGTCCCGGCAGATTATCCAGATTCTTAATCACCAGGGTCTTTATTAGGGAAAAGAGGGAGGGAGTAGAATCAGGGAGAGAGATGTGACAACAGAAGCAGAGTTCAAAGGCATGCTTTGAAAATGCAGGAAGAGGGCCTTGAGTCAAGGAATGTAGTTAGCTATGGACTCTGGAAAGGGCAAGGAAGCAGATTTTCTCCTTGAGCCTTCAGGAGGGCAGTCCTGCCACCCCTTTCATATTAGCCCAGGAAGACCCGTTTTGGGGTCTATAGAACCAGATTATAAAGGTATGCTATTTTAAGCCATTAAATTCATGGTAATTTGTGGGGGGGAAAGAAATGAATACAGAAATACTGGCTACTTATTCTGTGCCGGTATGTGATGGGCCACCCCAAATTGATTCTAAATGCCCTGAGGGCTCTGTGTTAGGTTGGGTTTTCCCTTTCATCTGATTCCCAGGATGGAGGTGAAGTTTGGTAGGGATGGGGTTCGGGGAAGGCTTGTGGAGATCAAAGGAAAGGGGAGCTGTGAGCGATAGTTGGAAGGTGATGGTGGCAGGGATTCCTTCTGAAGAAAGTCTGGGAGGGAACCGGGCAGGGAAAGGGCGGAAGGAATCCTATTCACTGTGTACTTTCATGTTTCTTAATTTATGTTTTCATTTTTTAACGAGACATTCAAATCTCAAATTTTAAAGGAGAATGTGCTGCTGAAACAGGTTTGGCTCAGTGGCCTGCAGACTGAAAGGTCTCAGGTTCAATGCCAATCAAGGGCATGTACCTTGGTTGCAGGCACATGCCCAGTAGGGTGTGTGCAGGAGGGGGCTGATTGATGTTTCTCTCTCATTGATGTTTCTAGCTCTCTATCCCTCTCCCTTCCTCTCTGTAAAAAATCAATAAAATAGCCGAAACCGGTTTGGCTCAGTGGTAGAGCATCGGTCTGCAGACTGAAAGGTCCTGGGTTTGATTCTGGTCAAGAGCATGTACCTTGGTTGTGGGCACATCCCCGGTAGGGGGTGTGCAAGAGGCAGCTGGTCGATATTTCTCATCGACGTTTCTAGCTCTCTCTCTCCCTTCCTCTATGTAAAAAAATCAATAAAATATATATTTTTAAAAAATAAAAAAGAATGTGCCTCCTATCCAGAGATTAAACGTTGAAAGCAGCCACCCACCGCAGCTGGCATCTGTAAACATGTATTGTTGACCCCGCCAATGCCCAGGTACCCTGACATGGTGGGTCTGAGCACAAGCTGGGGATCTGCCCTTTGAACAGGTCACCCCCTGACACCAGAAAGCCCAACCCTCTCAGGACCTCAGGTGCCAGCACTGCGGGCCGGCGGCGCCGGCGGCCTCCGGCCAGAGAGGGCGCTGTTCGGGCGGCGGCGCGGCGCGGGGCGGGGCGGAGGCGCGGAGGGGGCGGAGCTGGAGCGGCCGCGGCTCGGCTCCGCTCCCGGCCCTGCACCTGTGACTCCCGCAGGCTGAGCTCGCCCTTGCGCCCGGCGCCCGCCGCCCGCCGCCCGCCGCCCGCCGCCCATGGCCCCGTCTCGCAGGCAGCTCGGCCTCCGCGCCGCCTACGCCGGCCTCAGCTCCGTGGCCGGCTTCTCCATCTTCATCGTGTGGACGGTGGTGTACAGCCAGCCGTGGACGGCGGCCATGGGGGGACTCGCAGGTACCCCGGGGCTCAGGGGGCGATGGGGCCGGGCGGTGGGGCGAGGGCGGGCGCTCTGCTCCCGGGGCTCCTCGCGGGTGGCACCTCCCTGGGGAGCAAATGGGGGGTGTACCCCAAACACCCTTTAGCAGCGCAGGCCTCTCCCGGCCCGAGCGTTCTCCGAGCCCCGGCGCTACCCGGGTGCCCACGTCCTGCCCGCCGGGCGCCGCCGCTGGGCGAGCGCGCGGCCCCTCCGCCCGCCGCCCCGGACAGCCCCCGCCCTGCGCCCCGCTTCGCTCCCACCGCTTCACTGGGCGATCCCTGGGCTAAGTGTGAAGATCCCCCCAAACACCTGTTCTGGGGGGTCCCCGCTCCCGAAGTGCCTCTTCCTTGGGGGCTGGGTGAGCGCAGAGAGGGGTGAGCGGAAAGGGGGACTGGGGGTTCCCAGGGACCCCACCCAGCGGAGCCCTTGGTGGAGACCTGGAAGAGCACCCTGAGGAGGTGAGGGTGCCACCCTGGTGCTGAGACTCCTCCATCCATGTCTGCTCCCCCGCCCTGGCCGCCCTCTCAGTGCCCCAGGGAGGGAAACGGAGTCAAGGACTGAGCGCTGTGCACCTCTGGGTGGGAGCGCTGTGCACCTCTGGGCATGCCGTGAGCCTCTCTGTGCTGTAAAATTGGTGTGAAAATGAAACTTTTTTTTCTCTCTATGTGCCAGACACTGTTAAGCAATCTGCTTCCATTGTCTCGTTTAATCTTTACGTTAGTCCGGTGAAGTAGGGATTATTACTGTGCCTGCTTAAACTGAGGTTTAGTTTAGAGTAAATACATAGCTCGCCTGGGGTTACACTGCTACATGAAATAGCACGTGTGGGAAAAGACCTTTTGCATGTAAGGATAGTGCTTTTACATATGATGTACTGATTCCATTACTAAAATCCTCTGCCCAAAGAGACCTTAATGGTCTAAGGCAGTGGTCGGCAAACTCATTCGTCAACAGAGTCAGATATCAACAGTACAACGATTGAGATTTATTTTGAGAGCCAATTTTTTTAAAACACTTCTTCTAAGGCCATTTCTTCAAAATAGACTCGCCCAGGCCGTGGTATTTTGTGGAAGAGCCACATTCAAGGGGCCAAAGAGCCGCATGTGGCTCACGAGCCGCAGTTTGCCGACCGCGTGTCTAAGGACAGATAACTAGATTTGCTCATTGCCCCTGAGCTTACGGAGAGCCATCCCTGGGTAGGAAAGGAGCGGAGGGTGAAAGTTCTGCCTTATAAGAGCACATACACAGCCACGGCCTACATAGTGCCACCCAGAGCACTGGGGAGTCAGTCACCAAGGGAGGGTGGTGGGCGCCTTGGCGGGGCTGCTCTCCTGCCTGCCTGGGTGCCCCCCCCACCACCACCTGTGGCTTTCTGTTCTCCCTGTGGGCTGCCAAATGCCTCTGTTCACCTCTCTGCAGACCCCTGACGCCTCCCTCCACCTGGAACCCTCACCATCTACCCTGTTTCTCCTGGTTCTGCTCTCAGCCCTCCGCTTTCCCCTCAGAAAGGTGGTTGTACTGATAAGCCCCGAGATGGGGGCGGGTTGGGGTGAAGAGCGTTCAGGGGTGGAGACCACCCCTGGCATCAGAGCTGGGTGTGTTGGCGTCTGGCCTGAAGCAGTGAGCCCAGGCTGTGTGACCTTGGGCCCGTCAATGCTTCCTGGGCCTCAGTTTCCTCATCTGTAAGCAGTGGGAGGAGATGCCAGTGAAGGAGATCATCTCAGACACCCCTACCTGCTCCACCCCCTTCCCATCTTTCCTCCCAACCCCCACCCAGCTTTTCAGGCCTGAAATGTTACAATCTGGGTCCTCTCTCATTCATCTCACAGCTGCCTGTTGGAAGGCCGTGGGAATTATGCTCCAGGGAATTTTGGGGCTTCCCTCTGACCCCAACCCTGCCCTCTCTCACTCCCTGCAGGCTTCCCTCTGAGGCAGGCCAGCTGTGGAGCTGGGCACCAGGGCAGTGATCAGCGGGAGCAGGTCCTGGTGCCTCCCTGACAGTCTGGCCTTGGATAACCAGGAGGTGGCCATGGAAGGGCCATCGCCGCCTGGCAGTGGTGTGGTGGGGCGAAGGGGGGCGTGCCTGGCCAGGGCTGCCCACGTGCCCACTCCACCCCGAGTGGGTCCTGAGAGTCTGTAGCCAGTCAGACTTCTTCCTCTTTTGGGGGTGATGCATCAGCGAATTTACTGACTTGTAAGCACCCCACTTCTGACTTGGCATTTTCTAGCTCAGAAACTGCCGAGTCACCGGAGGGCAGCCCTAGTGTGAGATGGACTAGGGTGCCAGGCAGGGGCCAGTGGGGTGCTGGTTTCTGGGACGGGGTGAGCCTGGGGCCCCTGCGGCCAGTGGGAAGAGCGTTCAGGGGTGGAGACCGCGCTCTCCCATCCTGGGGGTGCCGGGGACGAAGCTTGGAGGAAAGGCGGCTGCAGAAGGAAGTTTTGGGTGGGAAACGGGAAACACGCGCACCCTTACTCTCCGTCCTGCAGACGAGGAAAGGGGGAAAGAATAGAAAAGTCACCTCAGGAGTCCAAACGGCTCTGTGTTCTTCCCACGGGAGCTGTGAGTGAGTGAGAGGAGCCCTGGGCCTTGCTTTTCCCTGAGAGCATCAGGGTCTCTGTTCCTGGAAGCAGATCGGGCGGGGTGAGGGGTGAGGCCTGGCGTGGACATGGGTGTGGGTGGACCCGGGGACCTGTCCGTTCTGCCTGGACTGTGCAGACCAGGCTCCTGGAGCTCACAGTGTCCCAGGGAAGGGAGCCGGGCTGAGGAACAGCTGCCTCCTGGCCTGAGGGGCCTGTGGGGGCTCCTGCGCCTTCACCTTTGGGTGGAGTGGGGGAGAGAGGTCCTTCCACAGAAAGTGGGGAGCGCTGGGGCAGTTCAGACCGAGCCTGCTTCCAGATGTGGCTTGTGTTTCTCTGGAGGTGAGCCCTGTGTGCAGGGGAAGTGAGAGGTGGGGAAGGCTGTGCCTGCTAATTAACAGACACCCAAGATAGCCATCTGCCTTTCCCTCGGGCCCAGCCCTTTGTGGCATGCGGGCATATGTGGGGGTGGGGGTTTTGGGGGCACCAGTGGACTAAGAGATGGCATTCCCATAGGCCCATATTTCAGCATTAGAAATTGCTGAGTCACAGAGGCATTGCTCTGACCTTTTTTTTTTTTTTTTTTTTTTCCCCCTCCTGAGCTAGCTTCCAGAATCTTTGAGTGGTAGAGCATCCTAGAGCTCAGCCACCCCAGCCACTCCATGGCATATTAAGGAGACAGAGGGCAACGGGGCTGGCCCAGGCCGGTGCCGTTCTGACTGTTCCTCAAACACGCCCGGTGACAATAAGCCTCCTTCCCAGGCCCTTTAAGAAACAGTTGGCTCTCCACATGAGCATTTAGGATGCGCGTGAGAAGGCAGGGAAAGACTCCGGGAAGGGGGTCTGGCACACAACCCAGATCGCGTAAGATACCAGCCGAGCGGAAGCCGTAGGGTTGCTGCTCTGTCCACCTCTGGCCTGCTCCCACTTCCTGCCTCGGCCGAGAGATGCTTGTTCGGGCTCATCCTGATCTCAGAGGTGGAAGGACCCATGTTCCCGGCCTCCCACTCCTCCTGGAAGGTTGGGGTGGGCGGGGGCAGAGCTGGGGGTGGGGGTGAACCAGGGTAGGAGGGGAAGCTGCAGGGTCGGCAGGGCTGCACCTCACTGGAGTCTCCCAAGCTTCTGTGCTGGCGGGACCTTTGGGCTTAACCCTCCTTAGATGTGGAACTCGAAGGCTCTGAGACGTCCTGAGGGAATGGCAGGGAGTGTGGCCCCGGGCTTCCTGGCTGGCAGTCTCAGGGTTTTCGTCCCTTGCCAGGCTGCCTGAATTGTGACAACTACTGGGCTGGTGACCAGAGCATAGCTCTGTGGTGATGCTCCCCTCTGCCTTTTGTTTTCCCTCACTTAACAAACATGTTTATGAAATATTTTGGGCAACTGAAAAAGGGTAGATAATTTAACAAACACTCCTAACACTTACCAGCCAGCCCAAGAATTAAGATATCATAGATTCTGTCAAAGCACTCTTCCCACCCCCACCTCCTTATCCACTTCCTTTTCTTCTCTTTCTTGCCACAGATAACCAACCCCTTCCCCCAGCCAGATGCCCCTCCTTCCTGTGCCTGTGCCCACAGGTCTCCTGACTCCCGGGACCCCCAGCCTGTGTGCCACACCTGCCAGGCTTGCAGCTGGCTCTGCCTCTTTCCTCAGTCCTTGCAGGGACCCTGCAGGCCCGCTGGGGACCCTTGCCAATGGAATTGATATTTGTTCCACTCTTTAGCCTGAGCGGCAGGCACGGCCTGGCACAGAGGGCACTCGTTGTATTGGCTGAGCAGCAGCTGTCATTGTAGGGGAAATGCCCAGCCTGGCCCAGAGGGTGGGCCCTGGAAAGGCTGAGGGCAAGGGAGGAGTGACAGGGAGGACGGCCATGAGCAAGGTCTTGGAAGCCCTGCGGGCTGGGTGGAGGACCACGAGGGTGGGAGGACTGCTTCCCTCACCTGTGGCCCTCAGGCCGGGCCCCCTTCCACTCCGGAATAGTGAGATCCCGGGGAAAACGTTGTTTATGTGGATTATATCTCTGTGTACCCTATTAGAAATGAGAACTGGTAACATTTTTAAGCATTTAAAATATTAAAAAATAACATTGCATTAACACAAGTAGTATGAGGAAAATAGTCATGTTTTCCAAAACAAAAAACAAAAATAAAAATTAGGGAGAATGGTATGGTGTTATCTTTTTTTCTCTCTCTGCTGTGTGACTGAATAGAAGACAGATTCCCTTATCTGCTCTTGCAATCTGGCCCTCACAGGCCCAGAAGCCTCCAAAAACCCCACTCCAGAGTCACGAGACTGCAAAACCAACGCTATCTTTGTATTTCAGCATTTCCTAACCCAGAAATAGGTCTGGCCTAGGGGTCCCAAAGGTCCCTGGAGGCCCCGGGGTCACTGGCTGGAGGCTGGGAGGAGAGGGCGATGGCGGAGCCTGTCCCTCTGACCCCGTCTGTCCCACAGGTGTGCTGGCCCTGTGGGTCCTGGTGACGCACGTCATGTACCTGCAGGATTACTGGAGGACCTGGCTCAAGGGGCTGCGTGGCTTCTTCTTTGTGGGCGTCCTCTTCGCCGCCGTCTCCATCGCCACCTTCTGCAACTTCCTCGTCCTGGCCATCACCCGGCACCAGAGTGAGGGCCGGTGCTGGGAGGCGGAGGTTTGGGGAGGTGGCATGGGGTGCTTACATCCAAAGGACGGCAGATCACTTAAAATCCTGTGTCTGTTTTGTCACCATTAGAGAGGGTTGAATGAGCGTACCCATCCCCCGGGGTGGAAGGGCGTGGGAAGCGCTGAGCACAAAGCACACTGCTGGCTAATTGCAGTACAGTACCATGTATCGATAGTAGGATGGGAGCGCCCCCTGGTGGCTGCAACCAGCAAGAAGCCACAGGCCCTTGTTCCTGACCCCAGGGAATCTGATGTTCAGACAGGTTCAAGGGCGTGGGACGTGGCCGAGGGTGAAAGTGACAAAAGCAGATGATGCCACACACCTGTGAGCGGCCAGCCCTGACCTTCCCTCACTCCACTGCCCGCAAACCCTGGCGGCTGGTCCAGCCTCCACTGGAGGTTGGAGAGGGTGCCCTGTGGGATGGGGCTGGGAAAGAGGGCAAGGCTCTCTAGCGTAAGGCGACCAGATGTCCCGCGTTTGGCGCGACAGTCCTGATTTTTGGCAAGAAAACGCCGCGGGACAAATTGTTAAAAATCGGGACTGTCCCGCCAAAAGCGGGACATCTGGTCACCTTACTTTAGAGTCACAGCCGGGCTCCTCTCCCTTGCAGGCCTCAAAGACCCCAACAGCTACTACCTGTCCTGCGTTTGGAGCTTCATTGCCTTCAAGTGGGCCTTCCTGCTCAGCCTCTACGCCCACCGCTACCGGGCTGACTTTGCCGACATCAGCATCCTCAGCGATTTCTGAGATCTGCACCCTGGGGTCCTCGGGACCTGGACTCAGCTTCTGAGACATCAGGTGGGACTGTCCCACCCCTGGGGCACCCTGGCACCGTGGCGGAAAACACACAGCAGGAAGACGTTGGTCTCCCAAGAAGCCGTCCCGTCCCCTCTGGGGGAAAACCTGGGGGTGGTGGGAGGGGTCAGTTCTGTTGCTTCTCATTAGCCTGGCTGGAGGGAAACTTTCCAAATAGATCTATTTTCTTAGCACGCAGGGAGGAATCCTTGTAAGGGCCAAGGCACCAGTTGAGGGGCACCGAGGCCCTGACCCGTGCCTGGGGGCAGGTGACGTGGTCCCTGCTGCCCCAGGATCTTTCCCCTCAGACCAGGGTCGGAACCTGGGAAGGGGAGGTCAAGTGAGGGGTCTCTAAACCCCAGCATCCCGTCCTATTGTTCCCCCAAGGTCTTGGGCAGAGAATCCAGTGTCCCTGTTCCACCCAGAGGTGGCCTCCCGAGTGTGCTGGTCAGTCATCTCCTTCACCACCCAAGCCCTCCCTCTTACACGCATCGCACACCTCAGAGCAGGACCCCCGAGTGAGGCCAGACTAAGGATCTTGGGGAAGGTGCTCCTGCCCCCAGAAGGGCTTGAGTAGGGGGGCAGCATGGAGCAGGCCAGAAGCACCCCAGATCTGTGCCCACACACCTGCAGCCCTGCATTTCCCCTCGGCCCTCTCGCACCTGCCCCTGGTTCCACCCGGCTCACCCCCTGCTATGAGATGCCCCCCTAACTCCTGCCCCTCACCTAGAGCTTGGATCTTTTTTTTAAAATCTCCTTTTTGAAGAATAAAGCTGCTCTCTGCCCACACACTGGCCCAAGGGCTCCCTGATGCGGGAGGGGAGAGGCTGCTGGGACGTGTGTCTTTTTACGTTAGGTTGCCATTTTGCACGGTCTCTAACCCTTTCCCACCTCAGCTCTTGCCTTACCTGTGTTACTGTCACTTTAGCAGAAATACAGCGACTGTTTGTATCCGACAGCCTCTGGTTGTTTCTTGGGGGGCTGTGAGGGCAGCGGGCGGGAGGGCTGGTGGTGCTGGGTTACCTCATAATGCCATTTCCTTGGCTCACCGTGTGCCCTGGGGGGCAGGGGAGGGGCTGGTGTCTCAGGGGCTGGAGACCCTTCCTCTGACCCCCCCTGGCATGGGGGAACCCCCCGGGCTGACTTTCCTCCTCTGGCTCTCAGCACACCCTGGCCAGTGTGAGGATGCCCATGGACACAGCCTCAGCCAGGACGGATGGGATTTAATGTCTGTCACCAAGAGGCGGGACAGATGGGAAGGGGACAGAGCCACTTGCCTTCATACTCTCCCGGGCTGTGAGGGCTTGGGGCCAGGTCTGAGGTAATGAGGCTCCACTCCCGCTGGACAAGCCCGGCCCCCTCAGAGCCACAGAAGCAGGCGCTGGCAGCCCTGGCACCGTCACCTTGGCATGCGCCGAGCTTGTCCGGGCCCGTGGGCCTCGCTGGTGCTCTCTGAGGCTCAGTATATGCTTAAGAAGTCACGGTGCGTCAGAGCAGGAACCATAAACAGGGCCTATTTCTGGAGCCTTTGACTGGTAAACAGAGGCCCCTGGAGGTGACATGACACACCTGACCTCCCAGCTGGGACCGGAACCAGGCACGTCTGATTCACAGCTCTTTGGGGATGGCTTAGTGAGCAGGTTCTGAACAGCTATATTACTCCTCCCCCCTCACCCCACAGTGGGCCCTCTGTGGACTCCGCCCAAAGCTGCCCCCTCTTATGGCCCCAGGTGGGGCAGCTAGTGTGTTCAGAGTGGATTCTCCCTGCAGGGCAGCTCCATGAGGGGCAAGGCGCCGGAGGGGGGCTGGTCCCTTCTCCCCAGCGAACAGATGCACCCTGAGCTGTGGCGCTGTGTGCCCACTGCCCACCCCACCCCTGTCCTGTGCACCTTTAAAGCAAATAAAACATTTATTGTTCAGATTTTTTTTCCATTTTTTTTTCTCTTTTTTACAAAAACATGCATACATACACAGGGTATGGTGGTCCTAGGGAAGACATGTACGCACACACACACATTCGCACGCACACACACTCGCGCGCACACACACCGTCCTTCTTGGCCCCAGAAGCCTTGACTTTGCCAGTCTGCCTCCCCTCCCCCATGTCTTGCATCTACTCTCCCATCCCCTTCCCCCTCAGCCAAGCTAGTCCTACGTGGGGCAGGAGTCAGCTGGGGTGGGAGAGACCCCAGAACGAGGGCACTCCTGGAGGGGGCAGTGACCGAGGGGTCCCTGGGGGTCACCCCGTGCTTCTGAGGGGAGATGAGGGTTTGGCACCATTGGATCAGGAAGCACAGAACTCCGAGAGCACCCATGTCCTCCACCAGGGCACTGAGAGGGCCGGCCCCAGAGGGGGCCTGCCGGTGACCGCTCTGGAGGGAGCTTTGTCTCACAGCCCGGTGGTGGCGTGGGGCATTGGGGTGGCTTCCATAGTCATTTGAGTAAACAGGCAAGAAGAGGGACTCCCCCTGCCTCGGGGATATGGGAGCCCTTGGGTCCTCCTATCCGTCTCCCTCCCCCCCACTCCAGCCCTCAGAGCCCAGGAAGGGCTGCCCCGGCTGAGGCCAAGTTCACATTTCTGTGTGGAGCCTGGGGCTGTGTGCAAAGTCCAGGGTCTACAGCGCCAAGAATAGTGGTTATGGGTGGGCCTGACTGAGCCAGTCCTCCATGCAGTCCTGAGGGACGGGGGCCCAGCAGGGCCTGGACCCCCACATGGGCAGACTCTGTGTTTCGGAGAGCCCTCCATGGGGTTGGCCGGCTGCCCTGCCTGCCTCCTCAGGGTCCTCTTTGGTCCCTATCCTAGACCCAGGGGCCTTTTCAGTCTCCTCGGAGTGACCACCAAGGGACTGTTCTCTGGCCACAGCTACCTGCCCAGAGGACCTCTGGGAACCCCAGGAGCGGGGGCTGTTGCCAGAGGTCAGAAGAGAACCAGGTCAGAAGGGCAGCGTAGGCCAGCAGAACCATTCCAAAGCCTCAGAGATTCATAGGTTCCTCCTCCTCCACCAGCTGCTCCGAGGGCCTGGGGGAGGAGAAGCATTGGGGTTATGGGGGGCCAGGGGCTGCAGAAAGGGCCTCAGCCCGCCTTCCCCAGAAGACCGAGGAGGCTGGGCTGGCCTCCTGGATCCTCGGGTTGGAAGGGCTCCGGGGGTGGAGAGGCTGTCGGCCGGGGGGCGGGATTACCTCTCTTCAGCCAGGATGCCAACGGAGAGGGATGCCAGGGCAGTCACTGTCTCCACTTCCTCTGCGTCGGCTCCTGGCACCCTGGGCACCCAGGACTCCGGACAGGAGGCCAGGCGCTGCATGCAGCCCCAGTATTTACCTGGGACAAGAAGCCTCGTCAGGGAGGGTGGGGAAAACCAGTCCTCCAGCCTGCCTCCCCACACAGCCCAGGCCGGTACTGAGACCGATATCTCGGGCCCAGGTCCACGAGTAGCGGCTGTGTCCTCAATCCGGGGTCAGTTCTCTCACCTGCCTCTGCCCTCCAGGCACAACCTTCCTCGACTGGGCCCCCACAGCCCTGACGTGGGGAGCAGAGCAGATTCAGCGTGGCTTTGAGGGGGCCTCACAGGTGCCCCAGCCATCCTCCCCGCGTTGGCTGAAAGGTCGCCTCTAGCCTGTTCCCATAGGTGCAGGGTTCCTGAGAGCATCAGCCCCAAGCCACGGTCAGCGCAGGTCCCGGGAAAGGAGCAGATGGCCAGTCCAGCCATGGTCAGCCCAGGACCCCGCACAGGGAGGCTGACTGTCACCGTGGGGTGGCCATCGGCCAGCCGCTCCCCCGCCCCGGGCTGCCCCGTGGACAGGCCCACCCTGCCTGCTGTTGAGAGAGGTCGGGTCCAGTGAACACGCCCAGAGCCTGGCGCAGAGCGAGGGCTCTGGACACAGTGCCAGCGATGTCTTTGTGTTACCTGCATGCCCTTCCTGAGCCCGGATGCAAGGACACGTAACTTATTCCTTTTTGTCTCCCTCGCATAGATCATGGGTTTTTACACAAAATGCTCCCTAGGCACTGAGCTGAAATGGAGATTTTAAAGTGCGTTCCAAACGTGGGATTATCTTAAGACCCAGCCCCCCGCACGGGCAGAGCTTCTGGGCCCTGTGGCCGGGGCTGAGCGGGACTGAGGGTTGTGGTGGGAACCAGCACTGTTAGCAACAAGCCTGAGTGTAGCT